AGTATTATTGAGTTATAAATGCATAAATACATCTACTAAACTAATAAATCATAAAATTAGTACATTATCAGTTTTTAACTCTTAATCACTTCAATATTCACAAGGACGCGACTCCCGTAAGGATGTCGGTCTTTAATAGTATCTCGTCGGTGATATCGGTCTCAAAATGCAGCGTTTCAGCTCTCAGAATTTAAAAGCTGAGACGCCTGAGACCAGCTGATGACTGATCCAGTAGAATCGCGATGGCCGCCGCCGAGTGATGAACTCAATAGTGTGACAGGGAAGTCCGCTAGTTGGAGTAAATTGAAGTAAATGTCTAGCAAAACGAGCTAATTGATTTATTTCGCGTAAGAAGAATGGCGGGATTAGAAGGCTATGGTGATGTCTACAGAGGTCGGCCTGCTAGATCGTGGGAGACAGCGGGGACGTCCTATCCACAGAGGTTCCACGGTCGAGAGGTTATCCACCCTTTGGACATACCCGTTATTCATCCACTAGCAGAAGACAATCCACCGGTCATCGATGACGGTAAATCGCGTTCTCGTTTTATTCGCTGATCGACAGAAGTTCCGCGAAGGATATCCACTGATTGATCATCCTTAAACTAAGACACTTAAACCTACTAGCAAACACCAACTAACAATAACAATTACTATTAGTTGTTCAAGTTCCTGTTCAATAAAATAATTCTTATGTGTTATATAACTGTTATATGTTATATTATAATTATATCATTGTTGAATGAAAAATTATAACTAATAGTTATGTTATTGTTGTTTGTTGGATATATATTTAATTTATTTGATCACTTGCAGATATCACTGTCAGCAAGTATGTTGGATTAGGTTGTGGACTAGTGAGCTTAATCACAGGAAACCTGCTGATCCATCCCTTTGTGGTGTTAAGGAGACAATGCCAAGTCAATCCAAGTGCATCCAGGTATCATCTGATGCCCATAACTCTAATACCTGTGATGGTACGTTTGCATCAGACTCAAGGTATAAACACACTATGGAAAGGAATTGGTTCAATTTTACTTGTCAGAGGAATGACAATGGCTGTGGAGGATCTGATTTCAAAAATCACACCATGGCAAAAGTAAGGTGATCAAACGAAATGGTTGAAGTTTCATAAATTATTTGTAAAATTGTCTTCTCCTTAAAACTAGACACTTGATTTCAGGAAGATCACTTATAACAATTCAATGAAAGCATTTGGTCAACATATACTCCTCAAATGGTAATTATTATATTAATCAAATGGTAATGATTATATTAGAATGATTCACACAAGTTATTAATGATTTATAATCTTCTATTTTACAGCATCTCCATAGGTATAGTCACCCCATTCTATTCTGCATCGCTTGTGGAAACTGTCCAGTCCGAGATTGCTTCTGAATGTCCTGGAATCTTGGACGTTTTTCGAGACGGTGCAATCCGCCTGCTTGATGTATGTAATAAGGGTAGACTCATTCCAATTTATGCCCTCGTACCACCCACTATAGTTTATGGAGTATCAAAATATCTTTTCACTCTTATTGTGAAAGGGGTTACTAGTCGGATTATGCATGTCAGGCATAAACATTCGCAAGAAGCAAAGGTATAATATCTGGTTCTAAATAGTTCAGAAAGTAGAGATATATTTTTACACAGGAATGTTATACTATTTTAGGGTGCGTACAGTAAGGACTTGCTATCCGAGAGCATCATCCAGGATATAGAGACACAGTCTATACTAGTTTCGATATGTGTGGCCGATATTGTGTTTTATCCTTTCGAAACTGTTATTCATCGATTACATCTTCAGGGAACACGCACTATTATTGACAACTTGGACACTGGAAGAAGTGTCACGCCATTATTGACTGGATATACTAGCGCGACCGATTGTTACCGCACAATAGTCTCCACCGAAGGGCCACTTGGTTTGTACAAAGGATTCGGTGCCCTTATCTTACAATTCGCGGTACATTTCATGGTACTGCGCGCGACAAAGTGGCTCCTGACAGAACTGGGCACGATGTTGATGCCAAAACCTAAACCAATAAAGATATTACAGAAACCTTCGTACTATGACGAAATCTAAAGAAAACCTATAACAAAAAATGTAAGATAATATAGAATTATTTATTATTTGTCTTTATTAACGATTGTATAAGACAAAAAATTGAATTTCTAACGAAAATAATTTCCGAGTACACTCTTCGATAATTTCAAGCATTACAATATGTCGCAGATTAGAGAACTTTTATGCAGTTTTCTATGCAATTGATGATAAAATTTTTCGTATCTGCGCAACTGTGATTTTACAATTAATGAGAATTATAATACGAGAAAAAATAGAAATCTACATAAAAATTCTTAGAATATTAATTATGAAATTTATGAGATCGACAATATTTGTAGATAGTCATTCTCGTATAACAGCAATTTTCAGTGAGTACTTTTTACACCCGATAAAATGTAATTATGTGATGTGATTTATGTGACTTTATTAGATTACTATATCGATATGTTGTAGCTTGTTTACGAAATAAATAAAAATCACACTATATACTGCAGTTGCATATTACAGTTTATTACAAAACTATTCTCTATAAGACATTAAATCACTGTAAGAGTTAAAAAAAATTCTATACGAGTGTCTTAACCCCTTGTTATATTTTGCAGTCTGGTTTTTTCTTTCTTTTTTTGTTTAATTTTAATCAATAAGTAAATTAGCAGATGTATACATTTTGATCGTGATTAGATAAATAACTATTTCAATTTGCATAGCATGCAAATATCTTCCTTTTTATGAACCTTTTATAACCCTTTTATAATCCTTCCTGAAACAGAAAAATATATGTATAAAGGAGAATGTACTACAAATATATTCCTCCTTTTGATACATTAAACAATATATATGTATATATATGTAGTGCAGTAAATAATATGTTTAATATACACAACATTCAAAATTGACAGAAATACATTATAGCAAAAAAATAATTATAATTTAAAAATATTATATATGATGTATAGAACATACGTTCTTTACAAAAAAATTAAAAACAGTGATTTTTACGCGAATATTCTAATTTAATTTCCGTTTAACAATTGTCCATTTATATACTCGATAAGAGAATAATTATACGAGTGTTTTTAATTACTTGTTAATTATATATATACATATATGTTAATTATACAGGGTTTACAAAATTTGCGTCCGCGAAGTACAAGACGTGATACTTTATGCTAAAATAATTTTTGCGCTTATTTGTTAACTTTAATCTGCTCTCCTGCAAAAACGATTGGACACAATTTTGCTAAAGGAAAAAACTGTTTTTGTACTAAAACGAACAACTTTTTCCTGTAGTAAAATTATATTCGATAAATAATTTTTATCATTTACACGTATAACTTCAACTGCTTCCCTGCAAAACCTACTTGTCGGACGCAACTTTGCAAAAGGAAAAAGTTGTTTCTTTTAGTATAAAGTATCACATCTTATACTTCGTGAACGCGAATTTTGAAACACTGCATATACAGGCTGCGTCTTCTAAATGTCATCATGATTGTTACCATCTCGTTTCATATATTGTGGCTTTTCAACGTCTTTCACACACTGTTCTGTAATATGAACAGACACTATGTCGCTCCCCGGTACTTCGAATATAGAATCCAAAAGTAACGATTCCATTATTACTCGCAAACCTCGCGCCCCCCTTTTTTTTCCCCACTGCTCAAGAAGCAATTTCATTTAATGCGCGTGTATTGAACGTTAGCTCCACCTGCGTAAGTCCAATACAATTTATTACAATCTAATTTGCTATTAATAATTACTGTGAATAAAAACGCCAAATCTTGATACTACTACGAAAATGTAATTGTCCATCGAGAACAATATCTGATATTGAACGATGGTATTTTTTGGTTCTGTAAGAATTCTTACTAGTATGTTCTCGTCAAGACTGTGGAGAGGTACGAGCACAGGAAATCTGCCAATAAATTCAGGTATCGTGCCGAATTTGACGAGGTCTTCAACTTCCACTTTTGTGACTTTATCAGATCACTATATCGATATGTTACAGACTGCTTACGAAATAAATAAAAATCAAAATATATACTGCAATTGCATATATTACAGTTTTATTATAAAAATACAAAATGATTGTCATTTGACAAAAAATCACTGTGAAAAAAAATTCGACGCGAGTGTCTTCACTCCGTGTTATATTTTATACAGTCTAGTTTTTCCTTTATCATTTTGAGTAGCTTTGTTTTTAATCAGATACTTAATCAGTAAATAAAATATTAAGAATATATATACTCTATGGCTGGATTGATGACTGCTCAATTCGTACATTATGCACAGTTTTTCTCTGTTTCTTCCTGGAATAAAAAAATATATGTACAAAAGAAGAATATGTATCCATATATACAAGATATTTGTTCGTAGATGTTCGAGCAAAATCTCGCAACAGTGCTCAACTGCTTTATGCACTCAGTTACGTTCAGCACTTTAAAATCTTTCATTCTATTCATGCAATAATGATCTCGTAAATTACTCATATTGGGGTATTGTTCATCGCAATATGCACATATATAAAGAACACTTTCGTGTTTAATACTTACATGCTTTTGTAATTCTTCGACAGTCTTAAACATTTTTTTGCATTTTTCGCAAAACACTCTCTAAAATAGAAGTCAGAATGGCTATTATGTATTATTTAATATTTTATTATAACTTTCAATAATTTCATGCATTGAATTATTCTTATTAAAAAGTAAAAAGTTATATTATTATATTAAAATAATTAAAACATTAAAATATTAGAGCTATATGTCCATGATTAAAGCAAAAAAAGAAATAATTGATAGTTAAGTTCTCAAAGCAGAAACAAACCCGTTTTATATGCATTAGGAGTGCAATAAAATTTTCGATCACTTTATAAACTGATAATGGCTCGAAGAGAAATCGAAACATCCAAACGAATACCAATCAATCTCGTAACCGATATAACATGTAATGAATATTATATAAAGAAATTTTTGCGCATAAAGAACAGCGCTATAATATAGTTATTTTTTCTCACTTTCTTTTGTTTCTTCATTTTTTAAATGTTTTAAAATAATAATGTTATAAACTTTTACTTTTTAGTAGTAAAAATTCAACAAGTGGAACTTCCTTTTAATTTCTCTTTTTACATCAAACATATACGGGTATCCCAAAATTTTTTGCCAAGCACTCTTGTGTAGATAGAGCAGACTAAACTGAGTCGAAAAGTCCTGTACCATTTTGCAATTTTTGCAATAGTTAACAAGATATTAATTTCTAAAAATTGCCGAATATTGGTCGTTAATAATTTTTTTCTCAAATACTATCAACTTTACAGAAAAACTGCAAAAATTGTTTATTTTTTTTTCATAAAGTTCTGAGAATTTTTTTAGAATTTTTTAATATCGTACTTTCTCATGTTGGTAAAAATAGTTGCCAATAAAGAAATGCAATACTAAAGAGTTAATAAAAAATTCTGAAAAAATTCTTAAGAGTTCTGTGAGAAGAAAATAAACAATTGTCTCTTGCAGTTTTTCTAAGTAAAGTTGATATTTAAGGAAAAAATAATTGAAGACCAATATTCGGCAATTTTTAGTAATTAATATCTTATCAACTATTGCGAAAATTGCAAAATGGTACAGGACTTTTCGACTCAGTTTAGTCCGCTCTATCTACATAAGAGCACTTGACAAAAAATTTCCGGACCCTGTGTATATATATATATAAATATAACATTTATTATATTAAAAAAAATACATATAATAGTGCAGCAAACAATACGTTTAATATTGTATATAATATCTAAAATCGATAAAAATTAAAAAAAAAAAAATTATCTGAAAATTTTAACAAGGATCGGTTTTAACACAATTACAAAATACTTCATACTGTGTATTGTGGCTTTTCGACACCATTCACACACTCTTCTGTAATGTGAACAGATAGTATGTTACTTCCTGGTATTTCGTACATAGGTTCCAAAAGCAACGATTCGATTATCGCTTGCAAACCACGCGCTCCCGTTTTTCTTTTCATTGCTGAAGAGGCAATTGCACTTAATGCATGTGGATCGAACGTTAGCTCCACCTGCATAAATTCCACATAATTCATTATATAAATTAATTTATTATTAACTACAGTAATTAAACGAAATTCATTTTAACACTACGAAAATGTAATTAAGATCTACCTTGTCCATCATGAACATTGTCTGATATTGAGAAACAATGGCATTTTTCGGTTCTGTAAGAATTCTTACTAGCATGTTCTTGTCAAGATTGTGCAAAGGTACGAGCACGGAGAATCTACCAATAAATTCAGGTAACATGCCGAAGTTAATAAGATCTCCAAATTCCACTTGTTGTAATAGCATGTCTTTCTCCTTAATATTCCTTTCGGTAGAAAGTGACATGTTGGTGATGTTGGGCAAAGTCGTTGCTTTCTTGTCCGAACTTTCGATCGCGGTTGTCGCGGCAAATTCAGTATCTTTTTCCGACTTTCGTCGCGCTATCAACTTGTCCAAACCGACGTAAGCGCCGGATGCAACGAAAAGGATATTTTTAGTATCCACTTGCAACATTATTTCATCTCTTCTAGAAAAATTTTTCTGTGGTACACTCATAATCTTTCCCTCTACCATCTTTAGCAATTCCTGCTGCACACCTTCTCCAGCTACATCACGAGAGTATCCACGGATAGCACATATCTTGTCGACTTCGTCCAAGAAAACGATGCCCACTTGAGCACGATCCACTACGTAGTCAGCATTTCGAAGGAGCTTAATTATAATACTGTCGATGTCGTCGCCGTAGTAACCGGATTGGGTAAGAGTGGTGCAATCACAGATGGCAAAAGGGATATCTAGGAATTGTGCTATTGTTTGCGCAAGTAACGTTTTGCCAGAACCTGTAGGCCCGAGCAACATTATATTGCTCTTTGTTAGCGCCAACTGATGCTTCTTGTTTAGTGTAGCTAATTCAGAACCTGATTGATCATTCTCCTTTCGCTCATTTTTCACATTGGCTTCTAAAAACAGATTTTTGATGTCTGATATATGTAATAGTAAGTTCATAGCAAAAACATTTTTATGATATCTATATAAAATATTTTTTTTGTGAGGGAATAAATTAATAGAAATGTTACTGTATTAAATTGCGATCTGTTTTAATCATTGATTATTATAAGACAATAAAAGAGTAAAAAAATTATTAAGCTCGTTTTATAATATATTTTTTAATTTTATGAAATTTAAATTACAATATATATAGATTACTTATTTTATTTCTTAACAATTCTATAACATTGAGGCATTGCTATCTTCGCGGTTAAAGATCTGTATGAGTGAAGGGATATCAATTGTTTTCTGTGTGCTAACTAGTTACCATTAATTTGCGTCTGTGAGTTGTTTTTAACTGACAGATTGTTGTAGATCCGTTTGTAATGGTTGTAAACGGCAACACTCAGCACCTTCTTTGCATGTTCCTGACCCACAACATGACTGTCGAGATACTCGTATATCTGAAAAGATTGCATTATTACATATGTTATATTTTTCCTTGTTCTGAAACTAATGCCGGTTCTACAATGAGTCTGTAGTCGGAAGTCTTAGACTTAACCGGTGAAGTTGGCCAATCAGCATAAAGCCATAACCACACTACAGGCTACCGACTCTGACTCCCGACTCAAAGTCGATCGAATAGAGTGATTTCTATTCTCGAGTCAGAGTCGGCTGCCTTGTTGTGATTGGTAAAATGATAGTCGGGAGTCCAAGTCGGAAGTCTGTAGTGTGATTACGGCTTTATGCCCAATTTCTTCACCTCTAGATAACTTTATCCAAGAGATATCTTCCAGAATACAATGAAGATATCTCCTGGATAAGGTTATCCGCAACTTATCTGGAAGTGAAGAAATTGGGGATTAGTCGTACAAGTTGGCTGTTAGTCAACTTCACTGATAAGACATTAGAACTACCAACTACCGACTCATTGTAGAACCGGCATACAAGGAATAGACTTATAACATTTCTGATTTTATTTAAAAAAAAAAAATTTTATTATGTAAATTAAATAATCATGATTAAAATCAATTACTTCTGCTGGAGATGGTAGTGGCTTCTTATAAGATCCTTGTTTAGTTTCTGTCTCAAGTGCCTCCTTTAAACTCATCTTCGAATCACCTTCCAACACCACACGAAGAAATAATGGCGCTTCTTGTACTTGAATTTCGTAGACTTATTTGTTGGATTACTATAATTATTATTATTATGTATGTCAGTCAATAAGGGTACAGTTGACGCGATGCTACAAACGCTTTGAAGCGTTTTTTAATTAGTCAGTTTGTAAAACTCTTTTTTTCTAATTGGTCTATCAAATGTTTCAAAGTATTTAGCGAGACACTTTGATCACAGCCTATAAAGATTCACAAAAAGTAAAAGTATCTGACTTGAAGTGCTTCAGAGAGTAAAAATACATAGATGTATCTCTAAACAGGAATGTTGTACTATTTGAAGCCCATCCTACAATTGTGTAAGTATAATTGTAAGTGGTGTAGTTGTAAGAATTAACCCCAGAGCTGTACACACTTGTTTTTTGTATCCTTGATATACACACTGAGGGGTCCCTGGGATCCCGTTCATATTTATTACCGTAACTTCCGTAAAAATGGATATATTTCAATTGATTTTTTTTCAATCGATGGAGAATTGATTAAGGAACAAGCCCATAATATGTAAAAGTCAATAAACTTAAGAAACTTCGAGATATATAGGTTCAAAGAAAAAGAAAAATTTAGAAACGCGAAAAAATTTCGATTTAAAAAGTTGTTGGGTCTCGGGGATCCTAGTTCTTCTTCTTTGGTTTTGGGTGGCCCTGGTCCTCTTTTCGAGGTTTACTTGGCCAGTTTTCTTCGAGATGTGTAAAACAAATATAAAAATTGGAATGCAATGCACCGGCCACCTCGAACCGGGCAGGTGTAGCAAAAAGAAATGATGCAAAAAATGTAAAATGGAAGGCAGCCCTTCAGACACTGGATGCCTGCGACCACGATGCTTCGATGCCGCTTGGACGCGCGCTTAGACGAATGAAAGGACTAATGATAATAAGCCTGTTCTTTTTGGCTGAACTTTGCACCAGTTCATCTTTCTTCCTCTTCTTTCCTCCTGGAGAGAAAAGGAAGATGAACTGGTGCAAAAGTTCAGTTAAAAAGAACAGGTCTAATGTTGGATAATGTGATACAGTTGCAGTCGAAGCCGGCCACGCTTTTCAAAAATATAATTGAGGCGATGCAACACTCGAAGCGAGACAAGACGCGCGTCCGACCTGCTCGAATGCATCCATGCGAATTTCGGGGACCCCAGTGTGTGTGTGCAATTAAAGTTAACCCATGATCAAACATGAGGAAAATATTCGACTGTGTAATGTCAATTCTTACAACTACAGTCACTTACAACTACGTTTACGTAATTGTAGAATGGGCTTTAAGTCAATTAGAAAACGTAACGTAAGGACTTACTATATCCAAGGCGATCGTTCAAGAATCGTCCAATTAAAGATATCTTTTGCAGCCTATTCTTGTTTCGGTGTATGTTTCGTCCTATCAAACCTGTTATTCATCGATTACACATGGTATACGTTACTTATCTTCAAGAATCAACATGCATCATGCACCACCATCGATAGTTTCGGCTTTAACAGGATCACACTGGATACCGGAAGAAGTGCACGTGTACAATCGGATACGCATCTAAAGACAAACGCTAAGCGCGGAACTTCCGCGCTTGGCGTTTGTCTTTAGATGCGCATCCGATTGTGTTACAAATAACAATGATGTTCCGCGGCGGAACATCGTTGTTATTTGTAACACAAATGTCACACATGTTCGATTGTTAATAAAAAAAAAAATCGAATGACTTACGTATGCCCGCCTATCGTAGTACAGTCAGTCGCACAATAATTGACAATAATCTCTACCGACGGACTACAAACTACTTGATTTGTATAAAGCCGCGTTTGCCCGTTTGGCTTGGGGTGTGTTCCATTTACTGCCAGCACTAAAAATGCTACAGTTTACGTTACGTGCATTATAGATTTTCAGTATTAGCAGTTAATTTTGGAACACAGTCTTGATGAGTGCGTTACAGGCATTTGAAAAATTCTAGGAAAACATAGAATTTTGCAGTATTTTTGACAGGTGTCCCAATTTGTGCACAAACTATGAAAAAAATTTTTGCCAAAGCTACTTTATATTATTTGCCTTTATTAAATGATTGTGTAAGACAAAAGATTGAATTTGTAACGAAGTTTCCGGGGGCGTATATATTCTTTAATAATTTTAATAATTAACCCTTACCGTACCATGTACAATTTGGTGCCTCATCCATACTATCAAGAGTAACTAGAATCTCTTCGTTTTTTTCACCTCTTCAAAATAATTCAAAAAATCTCTAAAAATTCACCAACATACTTTCAACTTTCTAAAATAAATATTGACTCTTTATTTTGGAAAATAATAAAATGTAATATAATTTATAATTACCGAAAGATTCAAAGAAACTTGCACGAACAGGAATCGCTCGGTCACTAGTTATCCATATTGATACGGTAAGGGTTAAAATTAATGTGCGCTTTATAATTTTTATAACGTTAATAATGAAATTGTTAAATATAGACGATATTTATAGATAGTAATTTTCAACATAGTTATTCTCAATATTATGAATACTTTCTACACTCGACGAAATGTAACTGTGTGATTTATGTGACTTCATTATATGTCGGTGTATACATGTTATAAATTGTTTAAGGTAAATAAATCAAAATATTTAATTATTTACTACAGTTGCATATTATAGATTTATTACAAATACAAGAATTATTATCTATAGGACATCAGATCACTGTGAAAGAATTAGGAAAAAGTTCTATGCAAGTATCTCTTCACTCCGTGTTATATTTTGCACAGCCTGGTTTTTTCTTTCTTCTTTTGAGTAATTTTAATCAGTAAGTAAATTAGTAGTAATTAGCGAAGATGTATATATTCTAGTTTAATTCGCACATTATACGCATCTTCCTTTTCACTAATCTACTATACTATGTACAATATATTACACATAAACACTTCTATCTATCTTGTATTTTTACATAAAAATAATCTTTTTATATTGTTCTTCACTTTCTTCGTCTTCTTTTGTCATGGGCGTTCTCCCATTATCAAAAGACTGAATACTAGCATTTATTAAAATTATTATGCTACAAGAATGTTCTTTTTTCTTAATTTTTCTTAAACAACGCGTAACAATAGCAATCTCTTTACAAACAATCCTGGCGTGACAATATACAAAATTTATTATGAATGGTGACATTAAAATTTCTCTTTATTATATGGCTTTTTACAATTTCGTATTTAATTGATCGGAATTTTTATTTCCGTATTTTAACTCAATTCATTTAATCAATTTACATGTTCATGATAAAAGTTTGCTTTACCGCACCAAATATTATAGCATTTAGATTGTTAAATTGAATTTAATGACGATATAATTGAATGCGCATATATATTATAATTTCTGTAATCTCTTTACGATGTTACACTATTAGATATGAACGCATATTAACGCCGTTTTACTTTCGATGTTACCATCAATAAATGCATGCAGGATGCAAAACTTGATTGGATGTGGAATGCTATGTATGATTTTTTGACTTTTCCTGCAATACGAATGAATTAAATGATACAAAATTTATTTACATTTTTTCCATTGTCAAGAATTAAATAGGTCTTTATATTCTCATTATTCTGACGTTTTTTATTTTTATGCGACACTTTTCTCTTGGAAGAAGCATTTCTAATGCATGTTCCAAATAAGCAAACTGCAAAATATGTTACAGTTTGCAATTTTATTCTTATTATGAAATCAAATAGTTATATTAAATATATTGGCATTCACATTGTCAATATTGTTGTCATTTACAGCAGATAAAATAATTTTCAGAGAAATTGGTTGGGAAGAAAAAAATTTATATATATATAGGAGGAACATGTATCTGAAATACATGTATATTCCTCTCTGTGATACATTAAACGATACATTATATATAATAGTGCAGCAAACAATACGTTCAATATGATACATAATATAAAAAATTGATAGAAATTCATCATAGCAAAAGAAAACAATTAAAGTTTGAGAAATATTCTAAATATGAAATATATACAGGACAGTTTGAAAACTATGTATGCGTTGTTCTCATATTATTTGCTTTTTTTATGAAATAATATATATATATATAGAAGAATATATTATTTCCTTTATAAAATAATTAAAATAGCGATTTTTTTACGCAAATGTCCTAATTCAATTTTTTGTCTATAAAAATTGTCCATCTACCGATAAGTAAACGGTTATACCAAAGTGTCGCATTCTTTAATTATTTGTTAATTATGTACATGCTGCGCCTGCTGAATGTCATCATCATTGCTATCGTCTCGTTTCACGTATTGTGGTTTTTCAACGCCTTTCACGCACTGTTCTGTAATGTGAACGGACATTATGTCGCTCCCTGGTACTTCAAACATAGGTTCTAAAAGGAGTGACTCCATTATTGCTCGCAAACCCCGCGCTCCCGTTTTCCTTTCCATTGCTAAAGAGGCAATTGCATTCAGTGCGTGTATGTCAAACGTTAGCTCCACCTGCGTAAATCCAATATGATTACAATTTAATGTGCTATTAACAACTAATGTGATTGAAAACAATTCATCTTGATTCTACTATGAAAATGTAATAACTAAGCTTTACCTTATCCATCGAGAACAACATCTGATATTGAGGAATGATGGCATTTTTCGGTTCAGTAAGAATTCTCGCTAGCATATCCCTATCGAGTGTATGGAAAGGCACGAGAACAGGAAATCTGCCAACGAATTCAGGTATCATGCCGAAATCGATGAGATCTCTAGCTTCCACTTGTTGCAACAACATGTCCTTTTCCTTATTGTCTCTCTCGGTAGAAGGTGACATATTGGCGACATCGGCTAAAGTTGCCGCTCTTCTGCCCGGGCTCTCAACTGCGGGTGTCGCGCCAAATCCGAGATATTTTTCCGATTTGCGCCGTGCTATTAACCTGTCTAAACCGCTGTAAGCTCCCGACGCTACGAAAAGAATATTCGT